TTAACCTTATGTTCTGATAACGATTTTAAGATCGTTTTTCTGGCTCTGGCTTCCTACAGGTCACCTCACGAAGGCCATGCCTTAGCAGCCACTGAAGGAGGTGGAAGCGCAGGCCCAGTGGGAGTGCAGGCCTCGCGGTAGGGTGCCGGATCCCCGAGGATGCCCCGAAGGGTGCCGGTTAGGTGCAGAGCTGAGCTTGCTGAGAATTGTGATGGATGGGGGCGGGGCGGGGGAGGTAAAGACGTGGACCATAGTAGCTCAGAAGACCCTCTAGAATTGGACCCAGTTCCTACGCAAGAGTCTTCCTTCCTGCCTCCGGAGACACTGCAATGATGTCAGCGAGGGGGCGCTGAAAAAGGAGGTTGTCAAATTCCTCATAGTTGTTGCGCACCTAGGGAAAAGGACTGGTAATTAATATCTTAATACTCTGTAAATGGAAGCAATCTTTACAACTGAGCTCCAAGATGTGGGCCAAGGGGACTCCAGTGTATCTAAGCACAGTTCAGTTAACCCAGTGACTGGAACTCAGCCGCCCTTCCCCCAAAAGAGCTACACCAAAGTGCAATAGAATACAATAGTACCACCCATAGGAGATTTTATGGTGTTTTGAGGACCATGTTATACCTCGCAGCTCCTAGCAACATTTCTTTGCAGAATATAAGCCCCAGCTTGTACCTACCAGCCTAGAGTCTTCAGCCCCTTTCCAGATTTGTAAGAAAGGTTGTTTCTATTGGAGGTTGGGGGTGGTGCTGCTGGTTGGCAGGGTGCAGAGCAGGGTGGGGTTCCCACATAATTTCCCCGGGAAATTATGTGCTGTCTCTTCCACTTGATTAGTGATAGTGACCTTTCCGTCCTCTTTACTAAGGATTATTCTACAATAGACGCAAGCCTCTATTTCTTGATCAAGGTCCCCAATCTGTGATCTAAATACACGATCTTAGCTAAACCACAGTAAATAGTCAAGAGATGTTTTCAAGGAAGAAATAGGAATAACTGCCTTTTAGAAACCCAAGTTTTTAGGTCTGCTGGAAAGCAAAGCGTTTCCGAGGATCTTCAAGATAAGTCTTTCTCACTGCCTCAAATATAGACCCAGCGCTGGGCTTGGCTGTTCTTGAAAAACCTGAAAGGGAACCTGGGCTACCACATGAGGGCCACCCTTGATGACCCTATTGTCAAGCCTCAGAGAGCCTGGGCAAACCCCAAACTGCCCTCCCTCCCCACTCTCCCAGCAGACATCTACTGACATTCACCCACTCCACCCAGCAGGTAGGGGGCACTTCTAAGAGGCTTGGTTCTAACCTGTCGGATCCCTGAAAAAGTTCCCCCATAAGCAGTTACTGAGGAAGAATCAATGCGGGACAATCCCTCTTTTGCTTTCTCTACCAATAAATTTAACACTAATTGCTAAGAAGATACTTTGCAGATATGAGGCCCTGGGGACATCCGATTTTTGCCAAGCCCGCAACAGGGGTAAAGGCAGAGCAGGGCTGTCCTATGTACCCAGAGTCTTCTGGGCCAGTCACGGTAGAGTCTGGATCTCCAGTTTTGCGGTAACTCGCACTCTTAAGGATGGGTACTACTTCTGCCCAGCGACCAAGCCGCCTGCACCTCTTTCTAGGACTGGGGTGACCTTAAGGACCCAGAGGGCAGGAAGGGGCGACTCTGGGTGAAGTTTCCAACCAAGCCAACAAACGGCGCTATTGTCGCGTCCTGGGTCCTGGGAGCCCCAGGCCCAGCTCCAGTCGGAGGGAGCTTTAGCTCTCTTGGGAGCGCGGGGGAAAGGGGAGGGGGCGCTTGGCCGGGTTCCTAGCCGCGGATCCAGGGCTCTGCGCGCCGCCTACGGACTCCCAGAGGTCCGGGAAGGAGAGACTACTGGGGAGCGCTCCCTCTCTTCTTCCGGAGAGGTTAGAAAGGGCTGATTCCAGGTCCTGTCCTATTATTCTGCTTTCCTTGATGGGTACAGGGTGCACATTAGAGACTACATTTCATGCCCCGCCAGCCGTTTGGCCTCCCTCCCAGAAACCCTCGCCAGATCCGAGGTCACTCGGGTAAGGTGCCTCGGCGACATTTCTCCCGATCCTCAGAGAAAGTCGCCCCGCCGGGCCGGGGCTTGAGTCTTCACTGCTAGGTGGACCGAGAGAACTGGTTTCCTTCCAGCCTTCCCTCCACCTTCCCACTCCCACAATAGTAGCCTTGCTTCTCTACCGAAATGGTAGTTTGGATCAGAAAGTTTCCTCGGAAGAGTTTCCAAGGGAATTCAGCGTGGCACTTGGTCTGTGCAGACCACCCCAGAGCCACCAGGCGCAGAGATCGGTTTAATCACAGCCACCGCAGGAAGCCCGGGGGTGGGAGAGGGTGCCTGATGCTGGCAAGACATTCATAAATCTGGCAGGAGAATATAATGTGAAAATGTGCTCACGTAAGCCACGGACTAGGTATGATCAAATGACAAACAGTCGGGAGCAGTGACTAGGTTTTCCAGATAATCTGCGTTGGGAAGGAGCTCACGGACCAGACCGATATCCTCTACCATGGGAAATATCCAGGCAAGGCGCTGTCACCACAACGGCTTACTTGGGTCCTAAAACTTGGAAAGAATCCTGACATCTGTCAGGCTACTGGACGCCAGGCCGCGCGTCGGTTGGGTAGTTTCCTAAAACGCTCTTCACTTAGCAACAGCCCCGGGGCCCAGAAAAGCAGAGAGAGGGCTTGTGGGGAAGACAGAGGGAGGGCAGGGGCCACTGCACATTGGCTTCTTTAGGAAACGGTGGGTTTGCCTAAGAAAAATTGACTTTGTAAAGCCAGATTGCCAAAAACAAAACAAAACAAAACAAAACAAAACAGGTGCAGTTAGGGATTGCCGAATCATGCTGTTTTTTTTTTTTTTGGGGGGGGGGGG